CTCAATCTGTTAAAATAATTGTAGCAAGTTTTGGTGGTAATCATTTTAGTGTTTGCAGATGCTGATTGGCAGTGGCAGCCATCTTGAATCAGTTGTAGATGCATTGGTAAAGACTTCCTAATCTGTCCAGTGGTTTTCTGAATTTTTTAAGGAATGGTCAATTTTCAAGCAAAGGTGTTCTTTTAATGCTCTGATTGTTTAATTTAAATTACTCTCAGCTATCACCACACCACATTTAAACTCAGTATAAGTAAAACTATCTGAGCTATGTCAGGTTATCAGGGATAACTTGCTAACCTGATGTCAGGTTAGCAAGGACGTGCTACTGACAGCTAATGTTAGCACAGCGTCAGCCTGAAAAACGTGCCCCAAATGGAAATAAAGAGAGGGAGGATACCGCAAATGATGTTGAAAATAAGGGACTGAATGTTTCAGTCGTGTGGACCTAGTTTGGCTGGTGTCTTGTAGCTGTGCCGCAACATGATGAGCGCAGGTTCTGACAAAGTTAGAAACCACCCGCTTGAGCAGAGAATGTAAAACTTTATAATCCCAGATGAGAGCGAGTTTGAAGAGATTTACTTGAAGCATCATGCATGTAACATTTATTTCACTTGTTTTCTCCACGACAAGCTCACTTCTCCAGAACCAGAAGGTCAAGAGATCTCAGAAGACTAAATTAATCAATCTTCAGACTTCAGAAGTTATTGCTCTCTGAGTTTCATAAAAATTCACCCAGTGGTTAATGACATACTTTGCTATTGATTACTCACACGCAGGCAAAAACAACATGCTGCTGTGATTTGACTACATGTTTAGCTAGGCACATTATGCATTTTATTTGGAATTAAGAGCCAGAATGTCAGCATTATACAGAAAGTGTTTGCTGTTCACTGTGCTTTTATGCCAGATACCCTTTTTCCTTTTTATCAGGCTTCAGGGGAGTCCTCACTTCAGAACCATCCTTTTAATCTTTGACATCTCAAATGATGTTTTACAGCCTTTTCTGATTTTTTTAAAATGATAATTTCCTGCTAGATGTCGACCAAACTCAAATTCACTTGCGATTAACAAAAGGTAAATTTGGGCTGAACTGTATATTGGAAAATCAAATATTCTGTTTTCTTGGACAGCAAGAGGTTTAACAATTTCTAAGTGATCTATCCAGTTTTAAAAGATTCTGTTCCTTGTCCATGGAAGCTGTGGGGAAAATAATCCTATTTTACATAGAGCTGAATGTGTTAAATCAGGGGAACGTTCATTTATCTTTTTGGTGATCTGAAGTGGAGAAAGCATATAATTTAAAATAAATCAATGTTTTAATATCATTACTATTTTTTAGTAAATATATTTGATAATGAGCTCTAGTAAGTGTATTACATTACTCCTGTTTCTATCTTAAAACAATTAAAATGCTAAATAAAGCTGTGAATTTGCAAAACCCACCAGTAAAAGTGTCACATAATGATGAGATACAATCACAAATTGAAGCCACTGAAAGATCCAAACCTCTTGCACCCAAACGCCACATAGAGATTAAAAAACTTCTGCAAAATGCAGGAAAAGTCTAAATATCTACAGAGAAGATAGGGGCAAAAGCCCTGAAGCCCTGAGGATTTCATGTATGTTTATGCGCGAGTCCAGGTGTGAAGCTCCTGAACCTGACTCAAACTAAAAGTGTATCTCTGCAGTTTCTCTTCGAAAACCACAAAAACGTGACAGAAATATCAACTCAATGTGCATAAAAACTCCAAAGTGTTCAATTGTTTGTCTTAACCCTCTCAGGCTCAAAATAAGTTTTGATAAAAGGACGAACAACTAAGTCCTTTAGGGGTACTTCTGAGTTAAAAATGCTCATGAAATACGTATGTGGAGTAACTGCAACTGTAACTGTTGCAAATCTGCAACGCCTGTGTCCAGGGGGTTAAAACGAAACTATCAAACTATCCAAAGAAGCAGAAACGATGGACTCTTCTGCAGCAACATCTCCTTGCACCACATCCCTCTGCAACTTTGTTGAGACTTTCCAGTCCCTTGCCTCGGTTCTCCTCGGGTTGGCTTGTTTCCCCCGCTTCCCCGGCTCTCTTCCGCCATGATAGCGCTTTTGGACGGGCTAGAATAAAAAGCTGTCCCGTGATCGGAGCGGATGATGCGTCCTGAGCGCCTGCCTGTCTGGGAGTGAGTGGTGTTGGAGGCACCGCCGTCCGTCACAGCAGGAGACTCGGAGCCTTGATGGGACTCTAGAGCAGTGGCTTTTAGAAATTCATAAATGCCTGCCAAAATGCTTTGTGTCAAAAAATATAAAGCCCACATCTGGTAGAAAGTCAGATTTTAGAGTTACAGCAAAGGACCAAAAAGGCAAAGTAGGTCTAAAAGAAGGAATAAACACATTTAGTGAAATAATAAATAAAGAGATAATGCAAATATTTTAGGGATCTTTGTGTTCAAAAATGAATACTACAGAGAGCACATTAAAACTCTCCTTCTCTTCTTTGCCCTCTAAGCATTTTATCTAGGACAGGAAGAACAGCTGTGTAACAGCTTAGTGCATCTCAAAACACTCTGGGATAAAATAGCTGCCTTATCAGACCCAGCAAGTGGGCTCTTTAGTACAGCTTTCTCCAGAAAACAAACACACACGACACCACAAACACACACCGGGCACACATGACTACGCACTCAATAGGCATGGAAATATCCTCTTTACCAAAAAAAAAGAGATAAACTAGGTGCTGGGAAACATCCAGCAGCTACAAATTGCAAAGGGACCTCAAGAGTTCACTGAGCCCCAGTATCAGAGGAGAGCTTTGCCGCAAACAAATAGCTGAAAATGCCTGCATTGCAGTCAAACCTCAGCTGTAGTAGTCCTCCACCAAAAAGCCAACATCTTTCTCACAGTTAAGCCCAGAGTGAAGTGTGGTGAGCTTTGTGCCATTTCAGATGGCAACTGATGATAAGCGCTACTTACGAGGGCTGAGAAGTGTCTGATGTCTGCAAGAGCTTGTAGGAGGTTTGTTTGAGTCAGTTTGAGACTTAGGCAAACGTAGTGAACAGATGGAGCTCCACAGGACAAAATATCAGCAGGAAACCAGAATGATTTGAGGCAAAATGCTCAAGATAAAGGGACATAAACAAGTGGTAATCAAGAAAGATAAATCAAAACACCAGCAAGAGTACAGAAGGAACAGCTGCTGGACACAAGAGACTATAAGAATGTTGGTGTAGATTCTAAGTCATCAGAAACAATCCAATCCTGAACTTATTGCCATAAAAATGGATTTCCTTTTTTGTTTTTGCGCAAGTTTCTCAATACTGACTGAAAAGTGTGGTGTTCCAAGATTTAAATAGTTGCGGGCTGTAAAACCGGTGGCAAAGTCACACACTGGTGACAGTACATTGTTTACGAAAAGTTAATAAGACAAAATATTAGAACAAGTATGTTTATTCATTAATCAAACATTTAAAGGTACTCCAAGAAACTGTGTCATATTTTCATATCATTTTCATGAGCCAGTAGATGCTAAAACTACCCTTTAAAGGGTGAATGAATACTCAGCCCCTTCTGCTCTATGTGGGAGAGATACCGCATTTGCAACTTGAGTCTCCCTGGGGCCTGAAGTAGGGCCATGTGATCTGACTATATGAGATTGTTAAGGATTATAAAGTGATGGCGATCTACCAAAGCTTGGAGATCGTAGAACCCTCTACTTACGTTCTATCACCTGTGCCCTTATTTCTGGACGCGTCTACCGGCACATTTTTTTCTCAGCCGAGTCACGCTATTTGCTAGTCTGCTTCTGTTGGCACGACAGACACACCAAGAGCAGGTTTAAAGCAGTGTGTTGGTTGGTTTAGCTTTGAGGAAGCACACCATACTCGATTATAGCAGCTAGCTGCTAGCATTAGCCACTAGCTTGCTACGTCTCTGAACTGTCATTAAGTGTATTCTCATGCATCTGCTCGATCAGGGAACCTCTGGGTCAATGTTCTGCTCTAAACGTATTTAGCTTTGTAACTTCTATTATTTTGAGACGTTTGTGTGTTTTTTAGTGAGCCTTTTCACCGTGGCTGCCAACCGGAGCATTGTTTATGCCTCGCAATCATGATATTGCGCTCAAGTATAACTTAAATATGTGGTCAGCTGGTTAGAAAACAGGCACACAAGCAGAATGAAGGAGAAAATAGTTTGCTTTTATGACAGTGATTTAAAACTGACACTAGTGGGTGTTAAAGTATGCCAAAGCTGCCCGGTGACACTTTAAACTTCAAGGTTCAATGGATTGTCTCTTTTGTAAAACATTTTAGCCATTTTGCTTGAAATGCTTTCCACACCTTGATGATAAATTGTGTAATAGAGTTGTGCGTATTCAAAAGCTGCTTTCATAACACACCATGCCGGAAAAATTTGCGTAATACTGCCGCCACGGTGTGCCTTAAGAAAGCGTTATGGCAGCATGATGATGTGGGAATTTTGCTGCATTCGTGACGCCAAGCTTGGTGGTAATATTGCGCAACGTCGAACTTGTGAATGCAGATCAAGCCTTAGAGGGTGGTGACATGATCACCGGTCTGCAACTATATTGAAAATTAAAGTAAACACAGGCATAGGTTTTGCTTTTGTAAACAATCAGGTGAGATGGTAAACTGGAGTGATGCAGAGCTCTGAGAGCTTCTCTCTGTTAGATCTGAAACTCCAATCACCAGACAGTTCACGGGGACTGTTAGGGACAGACACCTTTAGGAGCGGCTTGTGAAAAACACTTAAGGAGCATGGCTTCAATCGCAAAAAAAAGCAAGTTATGTCCAAGCTAAAGGTAAGTCTGTGATGGCACAGAGACTGCCCTCAGACCCTTAAAAATACTGCAGCCCGCCATTAGAGGGTGCTCATTTTGTTCTTTGAGGTACTGGATAACACTTCTTTAAATGACCCCACTATATATCCACAACCAGATGTGCTACTATTATTACATTTACCGGGCCAACGTGGCTATACCCTTACTTACCCTTCGCTATGCTGTAGAATGGAAATCATCAGCTCCACAGCCAGAGCTCCAGCAATCATGGCAAGGCCTGGTCTGCTGACTGTGCACTGCTGATCCAGGGTTCGATCTCTGGTAGACTATTAAAAAACAACAGAACAAATGAACTGCCAACAGATAAACAGAAATAATTTAATCATGGATTAAGCGCTGACACAAAAGTCAATTCATAAAACCCAACAAGTTTACCCAAAGGGCTTTTAGAAGGGATGGAACCACATCGAGATGATGCTCATGTTTAAAAGGACTATAGGCCAAGTCCCGGATCACACATTGATGATCGTACGTTGGCTAATGTTGGTGTTTTTTCAGCTAAATTAGCTTTTATTGATGCCAGCCTTTTCATAAATGGAACCATTAATGTGTCTCTGTCATTGGCTGTTTCACCCTCTTTCACAGAATTGGCTTCTGCAACCACCTGAAACGATAAGCGGGCACAGCTAATGGACTGAAGCATGAGCCATTAGAGTGTGTGCAAAACTACACATTCACTAACAGACTTTAGAATATTAAACTGTGAACAAAGAGAGTGGCAAGCCAATCAACAGAAGAAAAGGTCCAGAGTATGTTTCATTTCTTTATGATGACTGATTGGTGGCACGGTGGTGAGATTTATGTAAAAATACAAGACAGATCACGGAGCTAACGAGCCAGATTAATAGTCTCTTTAACATTTTTAATTAATTCACCTAGATAAAACACATCTACATTTCAGGTTTAGTGAGGAATTGCAGTTGGCCTTAATTTTGATTATAATATTACTGCAACCTGAAACTGTTGAAGGGAGCCAGCTAGTATTTATTGAACCAAAAGTTGAATGAAGCAAGTTTCGTACAAATGGCTCTGTGACTTCTCAGGACTGACAAATGGACCTTTCATGCTGCTCTTGTGAAAAGGTAATGAGGGACGGGAAAAAAGGCAAAGACAAAGACTATCAGGGGACACAGGCAGAATGTGGTGATGAAGAAAGGTGTGATTATGACAAGCGTACAGGTCGATTTTAGAGTCACTTTTGTCTTTATGTCATAATGAAACACAGGAAGTACAGAAAATAACTATATGCAGGTGAAATGTGTCAATTATGCCCATTTTAGGGGCAGCAGTAGCTCATGAGGTAGAGCGAGTTGTCCAATGATCAGAAGGTTGCAGGTTCAATACCGGCTTCCGCCAGAGAATGCTGCTGTTGTGTCGGTCATGCAACACTCAACCCTCCTCTCGGGTAGCTTCCCTGCAATCTGCGATGCCAGATGAAACTAGATAGTGCTAAACACCAGTCGCCATTTTCTAGGTCCAATCATCATTCGTGACGTCAAATGGTGTTTTTCTTTTTGGGACTCTGGTAGTTTGTCCTAAAGCTGAAGTGGTAGCAGCCAGCTGTTTCTCCTTCCTTTAATTATTGAGCGGAGAACCTCTCACAGTAGTTGTGTTCTGTTGCTAAATACGTGAGTGTGTAATTAATGGAGGACCCAGGGAAGTGCGGTGGTTAAGCCAGACCAGCAACCAGATGGTCCAATAGCTGCTTCCGGTGGATTGGTTAATGTCTTCAGACAAATGCGAGAGACCTTTTATATCCACAATATATTTATAGCCATACTTTGTTAGAATGTTGTTAAGAGGCATGAAAAGATAGTTTAAAGTTAATTTGTTTTCCAAATTTGCCATTGTAGCTTTAAAGTCCAAAAGTCATTCATTTTGGTTTTCACCAACCTTAAGAATTATTTGGTTCTGCAACTAGAACACAGCAAGATAAAAGAGCTAAAGCAGCAACGGCGGCTGCTCAAAATAATGATCAAAAGGTAATTATTTGGGTAATCATGACATAAAATAGTTCTTAAATCAACTTTAATCTAATGATTTTTTTATTTTGTAGAAAACACATGAATGTGTCGTGTGTAGATGTTTTATGAGGTAAGTGTGTTATTGTTGTGTGTTTTCCTCACATCTCCCGGTGCCACCACATCATTGCAGAAGTAGCAGCCCAGCTTATGTCCTGGGATGTTGGAGAACAGAGATGACCCCGGGACATGGGTCCCTGATCCGGCTGGTGTGGAGGACGAAGAGGAAGCAGACGAACACGTAGGGGAGGAGTCCATCTCGGTAGAAATGATCTGACTCATAGGTTTCTTGAGGCCATGACGCATCACAACAAACGTGTCAAAGCCTAAGGCGGCATTCATCACCAGCTGAGGAGTTAAAAGATGGGAAACATTATACAAAGCTGTCTCTTCAGCTACTGAAGACACAGAAAACTTCAAACAGATTATCAGATCAGCTAAACGTAAACTTTGGGTTTTATTTAGTCGATAAAGTTTGGTTAAACTTTTGCTGCTCCGCAAAAATGCATGAACAGCCTGCGATTGGAGGTGTGTGTGTGTGTGTGTGTGTGTGTGTGTGTGTGTGTGTGTGTGTGTGTGTGTGTGTGTGTGTGTGTGTGTGTGTGTGTGTGTGAACGCATGGTAGAAAACTTCTTGAATGGGGACAAACTGAAGCAGATTTCTGTCCATCGTTTTTAAGGCTGGACAGCAGACTCGTCAGAGCCTTTAGCTGAAAACAGCTGTTTCCTGTGACAAGAGTGGTGAACACGTAGCGCCCAGCAAATGAACAATGCAAGCTAATGAGCTAAAAGTGCCTAAAAATTTTCACAAAGCTTTATGATAATTCACTGAGCACACTTCACTGCAGGTGTCAACCCTTACATCACACACCATTATGTCAGTCTTTGTTTGCATGTAAAAGATCCAAAGAGGAACTTTAATAGCAGCCAATCCAGCCAGAACCCGCTGGTGTGTTTGTGTTTATAGTACATGTTGTCCACTTCATTCCCACCTTTCTCTTGCTGGCAGCTATTACTGTAGGCAGCCAGCGGCTCTCCCTCGTGTCCATGAGCAAAAACACCACGTCGTGGTCTGAAATGAGCTTCTCCAGCTGCTGCACATCCTTCTGAGCCTGAGAGAGAGTAGCCTGAGAGAAATCCACTGGGTGGCCAGGCATCGGGATGCTCATATTGTAACCTTGTGCATTCTGTAGGAAAATAAAAAAAGTGGGAACAAAAGAAATGGCTATGAAAGCAGAAAATAACAGGGAAGAAAACCTCAGGTGAAGTACTTGATAACCGGTATTACAGAAGTTTGTTGTATTTGTTTATGTTTATTCATTTCGAAGACGCTTTTATCCAAAGCGACGTACAAGTTTTTATTTTTATTTTATTTTTATTTTTTTTATAACCTGTAGGGCATGTTGTGATGTGTGGGGGAAACCGGAGTACCCGGAGGAAACCCACGCATGCATGGGGAGAACACGCAACTCCACGCAGAAAGGCGAGTTTTGAACCTGCGACCTTCGTGCTGCGAGGCAACAGTGCTAACCACTGCGCCACCATGCAGTGACCTTGTAAGGTTTAGACATCCAACTGTGTAAGTCTCAGTGAAAGCTAAACATAATATTACTCTCACTGTCTGAGCCGGTTTGCCCCGTTTATTTGCTGCTGGATTACAGATTAGTTATTATACTTTAGTTTTGTGCGTGTTTATCAAACAATGCAAGCGTAACAAAACGGTAACAATTCCTTGCTAAGCAGACGTTTGTCCTGTTCATCCAGGAGGGGCTTGGAGTAGATCCGCTGCTCCTCCACAGCAAGAGGAGCCAGTTGAGGTGGCTTGGGCATCTGGTTAGGATGCCTCCTGGACGCCTCCCTGGTGAGGTTGTCCAGGCACATCCAACTGGGAAAAGACCTAAAGGAAGACCCAGGACACGCAAGGTGTACAGATGTAACCTTAGTTATATTTGTAAGGATTTTGACTTTGATATTGTCTGGTAACCATAACAAATAAAATAAAATATTTAGCAGAACAATAAACTAAATGAGGTTTGAAAACCCTGGAGAAAAGTATGGACCATTATGAATGAGGCACTCATATACAGACATGGACACAATTGTTGGTACCCTTTGGTAGACTTGGTAGATTGTAGACACCCGTAGTGCTAATTAGTAGTCACACCTTGAATTAACATGTGTCTTTGGTCACATTTCATCACTTTTCTAGGGGTACCGTCATTTTTGTCCAGGCCTGTTCCATCAGTTTATTTCATTAAATAATTCAGTTGAAGCCTGGTTGATAAGCAATGTCTGACTTTCATTGGTTAAATTTCAAAGCTTTTTGTATTATTACGTTTATCATATTCAAGTTATTTCTGTGACCATTGTGGGTTTTTCTCTCATTTTGACTGAAGGGTACCAACAACTTTGCTCACATCTGTGAGTCAAGAGTGATGTCCAAAAACGTCATCCAACAATTCAAATTCAGAAAAAGTAACCACTAAAAACTCTGTTGTGTTTCAATCCAGTAAAAAAGCAGAATTACGCTTTTTTCCAAAACTTGCCTTGAGAGGAAAATTGAAATGTCAAGTTTAATTTCAAGCGAAGGACTGAAAAGTGCAAAAAATATGACGTGTTTATTAAGACGAAGTGCAGCGTTTTACTGAATCAGTGGCTCTTCTGCCTTCTCTCTCCATATCTGAAGAGTGGGAGCTGTAAACAAGTCTAGAATTCACATTTAACTTTGACGTAAGTGTTGCTAAGCAAAGAGAGGGGTGAATTCACACTGTAGGAATGGTAATCAGAATCCAATTACCACAACAAAACACCCATAACCTGCAGCAAATACATACAAAAACATCTGATTGTTTAAAAAGTCCTTTATCTTAAAATGAACCTTTCATAATAATTAGGAAGTTTTTGTCCTGAACAGCTGAACTAGAACATCGACCACATTTTAAGCCGGGCGTACACTGTGCGACTTTTTCACTTTTTTGAGCCGATTTTCCAGTCGTGCGAGAAGCCACGACATCGGGGCGAGTTTTGCGCCGAGCGGTCGTGTAGTGTACAGGGGGTTACGAGAGGCGATTAACACCACGTGACCAGCCGCCGATCAGCAGTCGTGAGGTCGCACGGACTTCTGGCGTGTTTAATATTTCGCTCGTCCCTCGTGAGGGTATCGCACTGTTGAAGCGGCGCTGCGAGCAGCTACGATCCAAAAAGTATCAGAACCGCTCACGGCGCATGCGCGCGCGATCCTGCATCAACGCCGGCCGGTCGCTCGCTATTTCCCTAATAACACACGCTGTTCGTTTTTGTTTCTACACGTTTTTTTTACTCACAAAGATTGTCAAGAAAGCGTGTTTGTCGTGTTCATGTCAAATTAAACTGATCATAAAACACAGATTCACTTTCTTTATTTCGTTTTCCTCATCCAACCCCCATAAATCCCTGTGTACCCTCCTGCAGCACTCCCGAAGGACAACAGGCAAGACAAAAAAGTCTGACGTGTTGAGTAAAAACTGCTATTTTTAGCACATTTTTAGGGCCGACGTGTTGCTACCAGACGTACAGTGTGAGCAGTCAGGTCGCATGCGAGAACTGGGTCGTACAGTGTGAGCACACGACTCGTGAGATCTGCTCTGCGAGGAAGTCGTACAGTTTGAGCTGAAGCTGAACGCTGCGAGTGAAAAAGTCGCACAGTGTACGCCCGGCTTTAGAGCGGAAAAGAAAAACGTTGGTGCCAACACAAACCAGCAAACCCAGGAAATGGCATGTGACTTTATTCGTCCCCACACAAAATATGAAACCCGTTGACCTTTTCAACATTAAGACCTATTTTGATCCACATTCTCTCACTTCAATTACTGCCCCTCGATGCTTCCTGCACCTGATGCTCCTGTGTTTGGAGAAAAAAGCCAGGAAAAAGAAACAGCAGGGGCTCAGAGACATTGATAGCAACAACAGAGATAATGTATGGATGAATGCAGCTGCACTTCTAATAACAGCACTGGGCCATCCATCCATTGTGAAACAGGTGTTGTGCTTTTTATTTTCAATCCAGATTCAAAGGGGAAATTAAAAAGGACTTAGTGACTGATTTTAACAGGAAAATCAACAACAAATCAGATCTTTTACAATTAAACCTTTAGACTCGTGTTGCCACACAAACTCACAAATCAAGATTTAAAGGTACCGTCTGATATTTTTTGTAGGAACATTTTTTGCCATATTACTTGAAAATGCTCCTGATGATAGCAACCAATCAATGAAATGACCTTAAATGATTTTAAAAAAATGCATTCCTTCTGAAACCTACAATCTTAAGCCTGGGGCACACCGGAGGCGGACGCGCCATGTCACACCGGAGATTTTGAGACGTCACATGGTCACACAGGACGCGCCGCTGAGCGCTTCTTGGAAAGTCCCACAATAGTCACATCACGCAGGACTAGAGAACAGAAAGCGGGAAATGACTATTGTTTATACGTGATCAGACCTGCCGTCCTGTTCTGTGACACTTAAATTCATAAAAAAATGGGTAAGTACGCTATTTATTTCAATATTTTAGGTTCAATAGTACTTTAAAGTTATCAAAACTGCAGCTGGGTTTGTGCCGGTGGTTGAGTAAAGCCCTTCGCTGCCAGCGGTTTTCAGCATTTTCACAGTTTTTTTTTTAAGAGTCACAGAACATTGTGCTCTATGATGATGTCAACGCCAAAACTACCAAAAAGAGTAGAATCACCTCTTACATCAGGAAGAATCTGCGTGTTTCGAGCATAATCCGATCTTTCATAATCCTTTGTCGAATCGTGATCGGCAGAAGCTTTTCCAGCTTGCGCCTAACCTTTTTTACAGCAGCGGCCCAAAACATCTCCTCACACATGAATTTTCTGCTTCCTGATCAGGTGACGTGTGACGCACACAGATGAAGATCGGCTTTAGAGCTGAGATGTTTGTTCTCACGGTGTGGGAGCTCGTTCCGATGCCCACACAGGAAAACAATGCAAATGACGACTAGTTGTCATTGGCAGTGAATGAGTTAAGTGGCCAAATTAGAACTTTTTACCTGTAGTGTGTGGACATTTTGACTAGATCACACAATGAGAAAATACCCAAAAATGTGGTTTTAAATGTATGGTGTGACTTAACTGTTGGTTTAGATTAGGGTTAGGAACAGAACAGCATTGGTTATGGTTAGGATTGGACATAGTGGAGTCCCAAAAATGAATGAATGTCAATGGAGGGTCCACACAAGGATACAGAGATGTATGTGTGTGTGTGTGTGTGTGTGTGTGTGTGTGTGTGTATGTGTATGTGTATGTGTGTGTGTGTGTGTGTGTGTGTGTGTGTGTGTGTGTGTGTGTGTGTGTGTGTGTGTGTGTGTGTGTGTGTTATGTTATGTTATGTTTATTCATTTAGCAGACGCTTTTATCCAAAGCGACTTACAATTTATAACCTATAGGGCATGTTGTGCTCTGTGGGGGAAACCGGAGTAACCGGAGGAAACCCACGCATGCATGGGGAGAACACGCAACTCCACGCAGAAAGGCCGCAGCCGAGTTTCGAACCTGCAACCTTCGTGCCGCGAGGCAACAGTGCTAACCACTGCTCCACCATGCAGCCCCTGCAGCAGTGTGTGTGTGTGTGTGTGTGTGTGCGTGTGCGTGCGTGTGTGTGTGCGTGCGTGTGTGTCACAAGGCTTTGTTGTACCATTATCTGTAACCATCAGATTCTGTGCTCCTAGGGAGCAGCCTGAGGAGAAGGGTTGGACCTTTTAGTTTTTTATTTATTTTTATCAAAATGGAACTTGCTTAAACAGGTTTTCTAAGAACGAACAGTGCACCTTTAAATTTAGAAAAGTAAAAAAATTACGAGAAAAAAATAACTCTGCAACTTCAGAACAAACTGAGAAGACTTTGATTAACTAATTTGAGACGGCTGGCACACATTTTTACATCTGTATCTGAAGTCTGCAGAAAAAGTAACAATCAGAATTTACTGACCTTCATTTACATGAAATAACAAGAGTGCACTTATAACAAATAATAATGCAAAATACACCTGGAAGATCTATCGGCTAAATAAAGGTTAGAGATTAACAATCTCAGAAATCAGAAATCAAACCAGATAACCAGCAGCAGTGTACTACTTGTCTTTTCAGAGTCCAATTAAAAAACAGTAAAGTATGCCATCACTAGCATGTGACATGCAAATAGGTTTCCACACACAACTGAAATTTAAAATACGCATTTGGCCATTGCAATTCCAAGTGGCCTAATAATGGACGAGCTCTAAGATACCATATCTGAGCCCTGCTCTCAGTGATTGTCTGCTTTTTCATTTGCTAATCTGACACAAAAATCTTTCTCAAAGAGCCCTCTCATTAATTAGAAAAGTAATGAAACTGGCAGCATTAAAATGCAGATAGCACAGTTTCTAATTTTCTTCACAATTTGGCCATTGCCTCTGAGATGTGACCATTTAAAAACATCCTATCAGTCCAGTTCATGCATCTTGAGAAGTTCCTGCAGATCAGTTAGAAAGCAAACCGGGAAGTTCTGAACTTAACGATTTAAAAGTATGTTATAGGAAGACAAAGATTACAAGAAATGGCTTCCTGGTTCAGACATGATAGCGTATAAAACTCACCACACCAGGGAAGATTTTGGTAAGTCGATCAACAGCTGCTGTGGCTTTCGACTTTCCTCCTCCGAGGCAGTCCTCAAACTCATAGAGCGGCTGCCGAACTGGATTGGAGTATGAGATCTTTGCATTGTCAACAAATGTGATGTGTCTCACCCCCCATCCCTGGAAAACAATAAACAAACATTCCTTCAATCTCTTTTTAATTTTATAAGTAAACAAGTAAAGTTCTTTCCCCATATATCACTTATCACAAAGAGAACAAGCACAAAGATAAAGAACCAAAACAAAACCATCATACAACAAATGGATGATAAAACACAAAAGTTTATGTGAAAGCCACCCTAAATAACAGGGTCTTTAGCTGCTTTTTAAATGTGTCCAGACTGTCAATAAACCTTTTTAGTGCTTACAGACGTGGCCAAAAGTGTTGGTACCCTTCGGTCAATGATAGAAAAGCCCACAATGGTCACAGAAATAACTTGAATGTGACAAAAGTAACAACAAATTAAAAATCCTATGAAAGTCAACCAATGAAAGTCAGACATAGCTTTTTTTAACCATGCTTGAACAGAATTATTAACTCATGGAACAGGCCTGTGACAAAAACCCTGGAGTAGATCAATACCACCCAAATAAGAGTCCTTTTGTCAAGGCTGCTGTCAGCGTTTCATATGGAACTCTATTTATGCCAAAAGGTGTACAAGAATAAAACTAAATACCAAGCAAATAATCCATTTAATTGGTGCTGGTAATCAATACCACTTATTGTGTTTAAATTCAGAGACTCGTTAGTGGTGAACTAAGCAGCCAAATGCACAAAAATGACGTCCCACACATAGCGTTGGGCATTGACTGGAACTGGGACCAACTGTTAGTTTTTCCCGGAATCGTTCAAAGTTTTTTTATTTCGATTCCTAGTTTCGGTTCCTAGGATGCCAACTGGAAGAGGAATCCGCGGCCGATCTCCGTGAAAAATAAACGTGATCTGCAAATTGTGATCAACGCTTTTCAGAGCTGATCACACCAGCTATCTGTGTGCAGCACAAGACCCCCCACCCCCACCCCCCACCCCCACCCCAATACAAACAAATGCGTCTGCCAAACTAACGGAAACTTTAACTCCTGCAGCGTAGAGGAAACTTGTTAAAATACATCAACACGGTGGATTTAATAGAAGCTTTAACCTGTTTAACCCTAACGCCCCCCAATTGGGGGCCTCTAAAGTTTCATGTCCCAAACATCTACAACTGTAGATATTAGGGACTCCAAACATAACTAAAACCACAATCAAACAGCCCAGATGGGAAACAATGCCATTTCAAATTGTAATAAATTAAGACACAGTGATATTTGAACTTTATTTTAGAAGAGCATCTGACCTTCAGTGGTGTCTGCTGGGAAAAAAAAATTGAACAAATTTAGTTGAGGAACCCCTGAATAACTAAAACAACTGACTAAATTTCCTAAATGGAATTTGAACTCACAACCTCCATTCTGTCAGCACTTTCACAAAGGGCAGCTCTTGTAAAATAAAGTTCAAGTATTATTTTATCTTAATGTATCAAAAACCAAAAATTGCTTTGTTTACAATCCAAACTGCTTTGATTGTAGCTGTAGCTGTGCTCGGGGAATGCAAACAGTCACTGACACTTGGGACACAAAACTCCAAAGGCCACCAATTGGGAGGCGCCAGGGCTCAAAGAAAAAAGGCCTAGGGCCTAAAGGGTTAAAGAACAAACTCTGGACAGTGTGAGGTGAGTTTGTCTTACTGCAGAAATAAAAACACAAACGGAGCGTCAGCAGTCAGACTCAGCTGCTCACCAACACTCGTGTGTGTGTGTGTGTGTGTGTGTGTGTGTGTGTGTGTGTGTGTGTGTGTGTGTGTGTGTGTGTGTGTGTGTGTGTGTGCGTGTGTGTGTGTGTGTGTGTGTGTGTGTGTGTGTGTGTGTGAGCGTGAGCATCAGAGGGCTGAACAATAACTTGTAGAATAATTAAAGTCATGCTAGAGAAGCTTCTCTGTGGTGGACCACACCAGCTTCTGCCACAATAAATAATAATAATAATAATAATAATAATAATAATAATAATAAATCACACACAAAGTTGTGAACATTTTAATTTCCTTTCTGAACTATTTCTGTTGAGAGTTTTAATGTTTAAAATCTGTTAGATTGTTACTGACAGCAGCTACATTTAGGTTTCACTTTCTGTTCTGACTGAATGCTGCTGCAGCATGGAGGTGTAGTTCTCAGTCATCCTGGACATGATCATCCTGAGAGTTTTAGCTGAAAACAGCTGGACGTTTCTGGATATGTTGGAGACATTTAGCCTCTCATCCCAGAGGCTTCTACCAGACTTTGGTTGTGGTGAGAAACAAACACACTGGTTGTTCTGCAAGTCTTTTTCTTTTTTTCTCCAAAACATGTTTTTGTCTAAATGAAGGTGATGTTATTGTTCATAGAGTTAAAATTCATGTTGAAGTTAAGATTATTTCATCAAGTAGGACCTGTGGTTAGCTGGCTCATGCAAAACATGTCATGTCTTGAAAGAATCGGAATAGGGAATCGATAGGAAATGGAATCGAAACGGGGAATTGGAATTGGAACCGGAATCATTCAAAATCAAACAATGCCGAACCCTACCCACACAAGACGGTCTACTTCATGAGTGCTGAAGCAGGTTCACATTCTTGCTTATTTTTCAAAGTGAAATTCTGTTGGCTTAAATCATTTTGACTTTTGACATTTTAGAGGCAAATATCCAGAAATTCACTGACTCACACGACTCAGTCGGATCACGCCCACTTGATAAGAGCCTCAACTTTGATTGGCAGCTGTTGTTACAGATAGATGGAGTCAGGGTACCGTATTCTTGCTGCAGCAGCTGAAGGTGCTTGTGTAAGGGATGCTGATCAATGGATTTGTCTAACAACCCCCTACTTCACTTACTTTGCTTTTGTGTTGCAGCATTTGAATAGATTTCATTGCAGAAGCAACACTCAAGTTGGCTTACTGAATGTTGCAGTAGAACAGCAAAGTAGGGAAAGTGGGTTGTAAGACTAAACCCACTTTCCTTTGGCTCCGCCTTTACTGAAACAGCAGCTGTCAATCAAAGTCAAGGCCCTAATCGTGTGGGCGTGATCAATTAGAAGGTGACCAATCCTGCAAGTTTGAACTCATTCTAAGAATAACTAATTTTTCTTAGAAAACAGCCTAAAAGACTTGGAGAAGTTGGGCCAAGAAACACGTTTTATTGTGAATACTTATAATGGAGGAGTGTTTTCTGTTTTACCAAACACACCATCAGAGTTCTTGCCACATTGCAGCCAAGGGTGCCGGCGCCCAAAAGAAGACACTTTGTGTTGACGACTTTCTCCAGCTCCAACGAAGGAACCAGCCTCCATCTCATTAGTTTAAGGTTCAGGTCGACCGATGATTCTGCTAGCCTGAAAACGCCAAACAGAGACAAATTCTACATTTAAATATCTTCTGCAGCCGATCTAAACCAGTGAAGTCAATTTCACACACATTCATGCTTTAGATGTTACCTTTTAGGGTCCATGCATTCACTCAGGTTGACCATCCTTGGTCCCATAGCCCCCTTTGGGTTTTTCTCCCAGCCTACACTTTTAGGACACACTAAAATAAAACAAAAATATTGTATGACAAAAAACGGTCTGATTCTGCCACCACAGAGTCAGCAAAACAATTTGAGTAAAACTGCAATGGAAAATCTACAAAACAAGCTAGCTTTTAAATATAAATAGTTATAGTAGTCTCACCCCTCCCATCAGCTAAACCACTGATGTGGGGAACCACATCTTACACCAGTGGTGTTCTGTTGCTAAATATGTGAGTGTGTAATTAATGGAGGACCCAGGGAAAGGTGAAAATGCAGCGGACCGACAACCAGATGGTCCAATCGTTGGTTACGGGCCGAGCCGCGTTATTGGCTGAGGTTTTTGGACAAATGCGAGAAAACCACTTCATTTATTTTTCTTTTCCATTTCAAACTAAAAAGAAATTATACATCAACATTAATTTTTATTGTTGAAATACAAATACAAACATGATGCTGAAAAAGCAAATTAACTAACATTTATTCTCTATTTGGACTTAGATTAAGATTTGTAAGAATTATTCCATGAAATAACTTTACTGACTTATATACAGTTTTTTTTTTAAAGATTTAAATGATGGCAAAGTTGAGCCTCATTCATTTTAAGCATCAGGCCAAGGTGGACTAGTAAATCCCCTTCCAAACAGCAGGAAACATGCCTACGTAAACAGAAAAGCTACAATACATTTTACTGCATGAATACAGTGGTGTGAGAAACTATTTGCCCCCTTCCTGATTTCTTATTCTTTTGCATGTTTGTCACACAAAATGTTTCTGATCATCAAACACATTTAACCATTAGTCAAAGACAACACAAGTAAACACAAAATGCAGTTTTGAAATGATGGATTTTATTATTTAGGGAGAGAACAAAATCCAAACCTACATTGCCCCGTGTGAAAAAGTAATTGCCCCCCTTGTTAAAAAATAACCCACCTGTGGTGTTTCACACCTGAGTTCAATTTCTGTAGCCACCCCCAAGCCTGATTACCGCCACACCTGTTTCAATCAAGAAATCACTTAAATATGAGCTGCCTGACACAGAGAAGTAGACCAAAAGCACCTCAAAAGCTAGACATCATGCCAAGATCCAAAGGAATTCAAGAACAAATGAGAACAAAAGTAATTGAGATCTATCAGTCTGGTAAAGGTTATAAAGCCATTTCTAAAGCTTTGGGACTCCAGCGAACCACAGTGAGAGCCATTATCCACAAATGGCAACAACATGGAACAGTGGCGAACCTTCCCAGGAGTGGGCGGCTGACCAAAATTACCCCAAGAGCGCAGAGACAACTCATCCAAGAGGTCACAAAAGACCCCAGGACAAATTCTAAAGAACTGCAGGCCTCACTTGCCTCAGTTAAGGTCAGTGTTCACGACTCCACCATAAGAAAGAGACTGGGCAAAAAAGGCCTGCATGGCAGATTTCCAAGACGCAAACCACTGTTAAGCAAAAACAACATTAGGGCTCGTCTCAATTTTGCTAAGAAGCATCTCAATGATTGCAAAGATTTTGGGGAAACATCTTGTTGACTGATGAGACAAAAGTTGAACTCTTTGGAAGGCAAATGTCCCGTTACATCTGGCGTAGAAGTAACACAGCATTTCAGACAAAGAACATCATACCAACAGTAAAATATGGTGGTGGTAGTGTGATGGTCTGGGGTTGGTTTGCTGCTTCAGGAACTGGAAGGCTTGCTGTGATAAATGGAACCATGAATTCTACTGTCTACCAAAACATCCTGAAGGAGAATGTCCGGCCATCTGTCTGTCAACTAAAGCTGAAGCCATCTTGGGTGCTGCAACAGGACAATGGCCCAAAACACACCAGCAAATCCACCTCTGACTGGCTGAAGAACAACAAAATGAACACTTTGGAGTGTCCTGACCTAAATCCTATCAAGATGCTATGGCATGACCTTAAAAAGGCGGTTCATGCTAGAAAACCCGCAAATAAATCTGAATTCCAACAATTCTGCAAAGATGAGTGGGCCAAAATTCCTCCAAAGCGCTGTAAAAGACTCGTAGCAAGTTATCGCAAACGTTGATTGCAGTTATTGCTGCTAAGGGAGGCCAAACCAGTTATTAGGTTCAGGGGGCAATTACTTTTTCACACAGGGCAATGTAGGTTTGGATTTTGTTCTCTACCTAAATAATAACTATAATTTCAAAACTGCATTTTGTGTTTACTTGTGTTATCTTTGACTAATGGTTAAATGTGTTTGATAATCAGAAACATTTTGTGACAAACATGCAAAAGAATAAGAAATCAGGAAGGGGGCAAATAGTTTTTCACACCACTGTACATTCACCATCACTTAATTAATCTATGATGTGCTGACAGGGAAGACTGAAGAAAACAAATAAATCTCATCTAAACTCAACAAAAACCTTTACTGATCAGCGAGCAGCCTCTTTTCCCAGGCCGCTATTAACATTTAAATTGTTCTCATTGCAAGTTTGATGGATAAAAGAATAACACAGAAGCTTTGCGAGATTAAAAGGAGGCAGATCGTCTCAGTGGAAAGCAAGCCAAAATTCTGTTCATCTTAGTGGCAACACACACTATACGCACACCGCACACTACACGCAATCAGGTGAATGGGTCCAAATGAGGGGACACGCCAAGACGAACGTATCGGCACGCAAACACGAAGAATCGGAGATTACCGGAGTTGCTGGAGAGTTCAGGAAGCTTGATTTGGAAGATGAGACTGTGGTGAATGGAGCGGCTTCCCTGCAGAGTTCTGTCCCTAAAACACAGCACCTCCACTAGGTCCAGTTTAGAGCCCCTAACACACACACACACACACACACACACACACACACACACACACACACACACACACACACACACACACACACACACACACACACACACAGAAAACACTGAAAACAACACATTGCACACAGATATCAGAAAGTTCACACTCTGGGGAAAAAAATGTTTAAAACTAAATTTTGTGAAAGTAAAGAAACATGTGCAACAGCTCCCACGCAGATTGCAAAATAAGTGTTTACAGTAAAATATTTAACCATCATTATGTCCTAATATGGTCATAAAAAGACAACAGATTACACAATAAAATCCCATCCAAGAGGCTAAGTGGAACATCGCGGATACGTTTGAATTCCAGCCAGTTTGTGTTTAGACTGGAGTGTTTAAACTAGTCATGCATCAAACTGGTGGGAGTTTGTGTTACACAACTGCTTCTCCTTGTAAAATACAGAAAGTAAAACTTTATCACTGATGAGTCACAGCTACGACACAACGCTGTTGCTAAATAAGTCAGGATGGGAATTCTGACTTAAGGCAATAAAAGTCTATTTGAAATGCATGATCGAGTATAAAAGTCAGAAAAAATGACCAACTGAGCTGCTTGTGCAAAATAAGCTATATTTCTGATATAGCTTAAACTCTTGCATAAGAATCTGTCTCTTTGGTTAAGTCAATCAGGAGGTTCTCAGTTCAGTTCCAGCATATCCACCATGTGTCAAAGTGTCCTTGAGCAAAACACAACGCCCACACTGCCCCTGAGGGTGTATGGATGGGTGAATGTGACTTGCAGTATAAAAGCTTTCTGAGAGGTCGGTAAAAATAGGAAAATAAAGTAAATGAGTGTTACACACTACTCTATTTAAAACTGTAGAAACATACTCTCAAGCACTCTTCAAAAGAAAGCTCAATGTGAGTTTTTCATGCAGGCTGAACATGAAAATAGTCTCCTACACCTATCTGTTGCAAAGCCACAACAGAAAGGCTGTTGTTGGTTTAGCATCCAGGAAACAACAGAGAACGCCTCGGCTAGTAGAAGCTAACTGTTAGCTTTAGATAAAACATCCATGTTGCAGAGCGAACAGAGTCAGTGGAAGAGTAACTTTGCTGTTAGCCAATCAGAGGCGTGATGTCCAAATATCAGGAAATAAGACCCCAAATCCTGCCATCTGAAGCTCAGCTCTGATCTGGCTCACTTCTAGTTCCTGAAACTAATGCACTGGTGCTGTTTTTCCTCAGAGTATGACCTACAAGGCATTCATTCCTACTAGAGCCCACTGCAGATGTATTGATCAACACCTTTAAACTTAATTGTTTTTTTCATCCATACTTTACACAAACACCCCTTCAACCATTCATTTTGTTTCTGCAATTCAAACCGTATCGTTAGTTCCTGTTCAGATTCAGATTTCAGATTTATTGGCCAAATAAAATTGCATTTACAAGGAATTTGGCTTCGGTAGATCTGTTTTTCTATAGTAAAAAAGTTCAAAGGACTCAGCAGAGACCTTTTAGCCTGTCATCTTCATCATCATCAGCGTTATTTATATGGCACTTTTATGATCGAGCCTGCACCAAAGTGCTGAACATAGCAACTTCATAAAACAAATGTCATGAATTAAAACAGCTAACTAAAGCGACTAAAGCTGCCATCTGTTCTTAACCTCTGTGTAAATATTTGAACATGCTCTGCCCAGGACTCCTGGTTGTAAAGCATCCAACATCTTGCACCAACTGCCCACAGGTGTGCGCAAATATTTTCTGTGTAAATCTTTTAAAAATGTCCAAAACAGAAAGTGTAAGCTTACTGATTCTGTAACAGCTCGAGTAAGCCAGCTTAAGAACAGAGCTGCGGTGGGTTTTTGGCAGTGAAATTCCTGCAGCTTAACTTTATTTCCCGTCAGAGTTGGCAGGAAAAACTGAAGTCTGTAAATTAATCAAGCAGATAACTCTTGTCTATCTGTGCATAAATAAAACCAAGTTGGAGCTTAAAATCATGCTAAATGAATTCATCAAATCCAGCGTGTTTATGAAATGTGGTGTTTAGAAACTACAGCTCAAGAACACGACTTCTCCTCTCGTCTCTGAGGGAAAACTCACCACTGCTTCGCCAGAAGGACCAGCAGATTTCTCAGAGGCCAGCCGGGATGCTGGGACAGAGTACACGGATCGTAGATGCCTACAGTAACCTGGCAGAGAAAACAAAAACAGGGTGTGTATCTAAAATTATAGAAAGATAAAATAATTATTTGTTATTTTGATGGTTTATCACAGAACCTACAGCCCATTTTTAAACAAACAAGCTAAATGTTGATTTTGTATCGTGGAAACAGTCTTAGTACCTTTTTAGTATCTGTGAAAAATGTCTCCCAGTCCTCGAGCAGGGCCAAGTCAACTGTGTCCTCTGTGTATTTCATTATGAAGTAAGGAGCTACTGTTGTCCTTCTTTTAATACACAATCCATCGTAGGCTTCCTGCAGGGCTGCGATCTGAAACAGAAGTAATTATGTAGCGTTTGTCACAGGAGGTGCTGCATTCTGTCAAACATCACCAGTATGCCATGATTAGCAATAACGTCAATAACAGGCTCTCTTTAAACATCCTTAATTTACAGAATGTGTTTCATTTGGGAGTTAAAGCTGCAACGGCACATTTGGAAAACATTTTGTCATGCCTCTAAACAACGCTCTGACATGTTTATGTTTATGTATTTGGCAGACGCTTTTGTCCAAAGCGACTTACAAATGATAATCGGCATGTTGCCCTTGAGGCTAACAACAATAACAACAACTTGACATCAATCATGCTTATACATTTATTGCGGTGATTAAAAAAAATGTAATTAAGTGGTTCTCTCACATTTGTCTAAAAAAAGAAAAAAAAAGAAAGAAAAAAAATCTTTCATCAAAATTATTTTAAAGTAGAAAGTAAAAACTTAGTTTCTCATGTCTTGGTAAAACAGATGATAGTCCCAGTCAATGAACTATTCACCCTCCTTCCTTCAAGCATGAAATGGAACAACCTCAGAGGAGCATCTATTTACCTGATGCTGATGCTGATGTCCACATTTTTTTTATATAGTGAGATTTCAATGTTAATAACTACATTATTTATTTAGGCTGATCTGAGTAACAAGAAACTGAATCACAGTAAAACTTTCTGTAATGATTAAAGTTGGAAACCACTCGGTTTTTAAATAAACCTGCTGTGGTCTCTACTACGAGTGAAAGGGTTAGGGTTAACCCAAAAAAAGCAGGATTTGGAGTCTAACTATATTCATGATATGCAAATGCATCGCCTGCGATTAGCTAACAGCAACACAACTCTGCTGCCTTCGTTCATGCCTCTTTCTTGGATATAAAAAAATGAAACATTGATGTTTTTCAAAGAATATTGCAAATTTGAAGGAGTTCTGCCATGCTGTGGAGTTGCTAATGCTAACAGTTAGCTTAGCCAAGGCACACTCTGCTCCCTCCTGGACACTAAACCAACAACAGCCTTCCCTGTCGCGAGCCAAGATGGGTGACTTTATGAATGCTCATTTTAGGTGTGACGTAGATCTGAGTGGCTTTTCCTGACCTGATCTTTTCCCTGTCTGTTTCCTATCGCGGATAATGCAGGAAGCAGAGATGAAGGCTATTTTCACGTTTGGCATGAATGTAAAACTCAGAATGACAGATCGCATTACAAAAAGAACAAATATTAGGTTTCTCAGTGGTCTTTCGCCTTAAGAGAGGTGATTCAATATTCAAGATCCTTTTATTGTCATTGCACAGGTGTACAACGGAGTTCACTTTGCATCACTAAAGACAGCTCACTTAAGAAGTAGGAAAATATAAGTAAAATACAATAACAAGGCTAAACTAGATGTCACGCACACACTCTCGCTCACACACACATGCGCACACACACCTTTCGCACACACTGCCAGTTTAAGGTACAAAATAATTTAAAAGTATATATATATAAACATGGTAATAAGACGGGTCTAAACTCAAAACTGAAATATAAAGTAAACATACTTTACATGATCGTATTCGCTCTAAATTCCCGCCCTTCAATGGTTAGCTACCTGGAGGATCCCACTCAGACATCACACCCTTCAGCATTAGCTTTTAATATTCCACTACATGCTTCTGAGTTTGGGGCAAGTCGTGGATATTTTGAAATTCAAGTTTAAGTTTGAATGAGAAGAAAATGTGTCAAAAGCATCTCCAAAGTGTCCAATTAAAAACATCAATTATGGTTGAGGGGTAAAATGTATAAAACATGAACCTGCACTGCAGAGAAAACGTTCTCTAGATTGACGGGCGGCCGGATGATCTTTATCCCCTCCGGGAAACAAAGTGCCGGGAAGCAGAACCAATAGTAGAAATGGTACTTCTTCAGGTCCTACACATAGGTGGTCAAAAGGATTTAAAAAGTGGTAAAAATGCTAAAGAAAACTAGTCAACTTATAAACATGGAAATGAGAGATGTGTATCATATATTTATACATACTGCAAAGGTCAGCAGAATAAATTTGCTAAGGATAGACGGTTTCTTTAGCGCAGCTCCAGACTGTATAGCATCCCATATCTACACAGCAAAAATAGAGGAAGCCTCAGTTATTAAATATTCTTCTCCACAGATAGTCTTCTACCTTGTGAGGTTATTAAAATACATATTTGTGTGTATAAACACTCCCCGTGGACGTTCTTTACCTCTTTGGCTTCTTTCTCCAGCAGAGCCTTCTTATCAGTGGCCTTAAAGGCATCAAGAGTGTTGGTGTTGTACAGCGTTCCAGGAGCGGGACAGCAGCGAGCGGGAGTTGGACCATCACTAGTTATGGAGAACATCAGGTTTAATTAGAAAGTAATGGCATTAGTTATTTCATGACAAGAAAATCAATAACAGCAATTCCAACATGCTGCATAAATAACCACTGAATCCATCATTAACAGTAGGTTTGCACAAACAACTTGTGTTTCCACCTTCTGTGTTAAGCTTGGATCTCTCAGCCCCTCTCTTTACCCTGCTGTGCCGTGATGGCACACAGGTGAGTTTGAATTATTGCATGAATATCTGACAGTGATTGAGTGTTTATGAGTGTGTTGATTGTTTCATGAAGCTGATTTGTTCCAGGCTCCCAGTCTGAGATTTAAACACCAGCTTCCTCCACCACCTGCAGCTTTTTCTCCCTCCGTATTCAATTTCAGCTTCCCTCTCGATCTGCTTGGTGTGTACAGAGGGGTGTTCCGTAAAGAGACAAGAGGGGGTGGGCAGCATCTCTGTTTAAGTCTGTCTCTCCTGTTATGCAAATTTAGGAGCAATTTTTTTGCCTTACTTCTTGCATAAATTAGAATATGGTGCAAAAGTTAATTTTTGTCAGTAATTTAGCTTAAAAGGTGAACCTAATATATGAGAGAAAATCATTTCATGCAAAGCCAAATATTTCAGTCTTTATTTGTTATAATTGTGAAGATTGTAGCTTACAAAGTCTCAGACAATTAGAATACTGTGAAAAGGTTCAATAAGCTCAAAGTGTTACTCTCTAATCAGCTAATGAATCCAAAACATCTACAAAGGGTTCCGGAGCCTTTAGATGGTCTCTCAGTCTGAGTTAAATTATTAAATAAAATAACTTTTTTCACCATATTCTCATTTTTAGAGCTTCGCCTGTACTTGAGATCATAAATTATAGACTCACAAGCCTTTGTTTTGTTAGTCTGTTTTGCAAAAGCTTCAACCTGAAATATGTCATTAAACCTTGTCAGGATATGTGTTCCCAACAGCCCTTGGGGCCATCTAAAAGAGGAACCATGTGCTTTCGTACACATCCACTAAATAATAAGTTAATGTTTCCGACTGTGAAATTCAGATCTGTGCTGACAAAATTGATTGTTCAATACCAAATTATCATCATCATCATCATCATCATCATCAACCTTTATTTATAAAGCACATTTAAACGGCGCCAACGCCAACCAAAGTGCTGTACAAGACAATACATCACCAAAATAGATAAAACAAATAAAAACTAGTAAAAAATAAATAAAAAACAGGAAAGCACAAGGGTTAAACACTCTCAGCCGGGAAGGCCAGGGAATAGAAATATGTCTTCAAACGTTCTTTAAATACATATACAGTCTGGAGCTTCATTATATTGAAGCTCATTTCAACATGAAAGTATATTGGGTGAATAATTTTTTAAAAGCCTAGAAAGAGAAAAGTATACTTAATAAGTTGCTTTCAAAACATTTAACGGATCCCCTAAAATCCCTGGAATGACTGTTGTGGGGCTTCAGCTGTTACTGGAGAGGAGAGGCACAGAGGTGGAAGGAGGAGAGAAAACTCTGCAGGTGCGGGCTCAAGAGCTAGAAAATGTGGCACTCGTTCCCTCTTTCAGGAAAAACACAAGCTGGCTGAGACATCCGTGCCTAAGAGCGACTCCTTCCTGCTAGAATAATAATGTGCTGCCAATTTAAGTACAGTGCAAATGACCTGTAGGTATGCAACATTTGCATACTGATTCTAATGTTTATCACAGAGAGCTGACAAAAGTGTCTCACTTGAAGTTTAGGCTAAAGACATCTCGTTGCTCCGTCAGAATAAAGGCGATAAAAAATTGCTGCCACCCAGCAGTCGGAATTAGAACTACAGCACATTCATTAATGTTTACACGTAAACTCTCAATAAACAAAATGATATGCTGCTTTTAAATATTGATTCAGTATCATAGAAATATTGCAATATTTCTGTGTACTGATACTTTCTTACAACCCTAGACTACACTGTTCTTCAAATCCAAAATACTGAAATTTGAAGATCTGGTTATATTTAGAACAGTTTAGTTCATGTTTAAAATAAAGCACCACCACACCCTCTGCTAAAAATGTTTTAAGGAGAGAGGATGAACATACAAATCATGAGGTTCAAGCAGTCTCTTGTTTGTCCTACTCTTAAAGGTAGGCGGTGTTTGTGGGGTGGCCTCAGTAATGAACTCAAAGAGAGTAGCAGCAAGAAAAAGTTTTAAAAAATGGTACAACGAAATTTCTACTGCACAATATATGAAGGATAGATGAAATAATAATTGTCGTTGATAGGATGATTGGGATTCAGATGCTTTTTGAGTGTATAAGTTCATAAAAATGTTTGGTGTGGTGTTCATGTTGTTATAACTGAGGTAGGCAGGTAGGTGGATAGACAAACCAACAGACAAATAAATAAATAAATGAATAAATAAATAAGATGTAGCTGGCCACGCCCATCCATCCCTGCTCATGCAGCTATAAGCTGAGAAGCTCCAATATCTGGAAGTAGCTTGGAGTAGAGCCCCAGCTCCTCCAGCAGCAGCTCTCGCTCGCACATGAGAGGTGGTTCTAACCTACTTTCCCCGTTTGTGACATCACAAACAGGGACTATTTGAAATAGCTTGTTTTGAGGCACATAATTCCTAGAACTAAACACTAACGGGAAAACAGATGGACAGGCTTTTCACATTTGGACTCTTTAAAGGGACAGTAAAGCCCACAAGGCAGCATAATAAAAATGCAAAAGGCGGGTTTTGCATAATGTTTCCTCGTTAAAATAGCTGAAATTACATGTTCACTTGCCCAAGTGGTATAACAGCATTTTGTGCATTTAAAGAATGCCTTAAACATATCTTTTTCAACATGACACATTTCATCATACTCACGCATCAAATGCACTGAACTCCAAAGTCAGACGGGTTGGTAAACTGTCTGGATCACCTATCAGACAGAAACATGGACAAATCTTTTTAATTCAACTCAGAAACCAAGGTCTATCTTTTGAAGTCCATATGTGGAAGCAGCTCATGGCAGACATCAGCCTGGTGACATCATCAGACCACTCTCCTCACCGTTGTAATAGTATCCTTTGATACATTTGGGGCTTTCATCCAATCTGTAGTCACTGAGTTTCTTCTGAGTGAGTTGGTGCCAGAACCCTGCCTCCAGAGAGCTGCTGAAGGGTGCAAACTGCAGCTTGAGGTCTGAAGTGGAAGATGATGCTTCAGTGCTGTCAGACGCCATCATAGCGTCACTGATCCAATTCTACAAACTGGGAAATAAAGCCGAAGTAAAGGCTTTACAAGCAAACACATGAATGGGTTGTTTTTATGTAATTTTTTTAACCTTGGCACACAAAAGCACTTTACAAGTGCACTTTTCATTCAGATTCAAACTTACATTCACTATTCCGAACAGAGCTGCCACACGAGCCCAGCAGCATGGCATTAGTTTTATAAAACCATGGTTTAACATGACGATACGAGCCCTACAATTAGAGGAAGATCCTGAGAGACTACCACCTACGTAACAGTTCTTTCAGCTGCCAGGTTTATAATGGTCCCTTGTGAAATAAAACAATAAAACAAAACACTTCATAACAATGATCCTATTCAGTTCAGTCTGTCAGTTTTCAAATTAATAATTTATTTCTAATGCCTGATCATAGCCAATAAGATACTCTGGTTAACTGCAGAAGTATTTTTCTTTCATGCCTCAAACACATATCGGTCTGTTGTATGAAAGATGAATTAATAGAGCTGAGAAGACATGGTACCAGAAAAACATACTACAGAAAAATTTGGGAGATGTTTTTTACAAGTTTAACAAAATAATTGGAATAGCTTCATATTAAAGATACTTTAGCCTTCAGATTGAACAGATATTGTGTAATTCAGGTGCACAGTAAATATTTTAGCACTGATGTTTTTTTCTTCTTCACTTCAAGTAAGCACCCAGCCTAAACACCATGGTGGCAATTGGATCTAATGTTAATATTCTGATGCATGAAACCTCACGGCATCCCCAGGTGTTCTTTTGTTTTACCATTTAGGATGTAGTCATAAGACGGTTTCCCTACTCGTCCAGTCATAGGGGGTTTATTCCCAATATTCCCAATCAATTTCCCTCTGGGATTAATAAAGTATTTTTGAATTTAAATTTGAATTATTAAAATGCAACTAGTAGCTTAGAAAAACAAAAATAAAAAATGGCAGGATGAGATGACTACAGGTAGTAGTCAGGTATATGCATCTGACACATTTTATTTTCCTGATAAACACAAAAGAATAAAATACTAATTATTGGTATTCAGCCATTAGAATCATTTTGGTCTGCTAAAATGGACAAAACAAAAAAACAGGTCAAGATCATATCCTTTTGCAATTTTATGAGGCAAGCTAGAGGAGAAACTTATTTTTGATGATGTGACACTTTTTGATACAACACCCTGTCTGGTTAGAACAGTTTTAGCAGCAATAAGGTGGCCTAGTACATCATGTTCAAAACATCATAGCCAAATTAGCTTACTCTAGATTAAACTCTAAATTTAACCATGTGATCTTTCCCTTTAAACTGTCATTTTAGTTCATAAGCGTATGATTCTAACATCCACAGGGCTTAATTTATTGAAAGTCAAGTGAAAAAAGATTAAAAACAAGAAAAGCTGATGGATAAAGATTGATATTGTATTGTCGGTTTTTGCTATTCCATTTCAAACACAGAATATTCATTTTTATATCATTTCAGTGAAAGAAGAAGCAAATGTAACTCAGCTTAAACGTTCGTAAAATACCGAAATGAACCTCTCCAAAGACCAAAACAATTAAAAGAAAAAGAAAAAACACGCAGAAATAACAGAAACGTAATAATACTGGTAAACTTTGCCGCTGACACTCATATTTATATGCTAAACTGCTAAAAGGCTTTGTGCACTCACCCTCAGATGTGACTTCCAGGTTTAGTTGATCATGTGACCGCAGAACTAGTCAACAGCGCGGTGCACTGTGGGTAAGTAGCTCCGTCAGCTAGCTACTGTGGCTGCTTCTGAGTTTTACGGAGCGTGAATCAACGAGTAAAACACAAAAAACCAAAACACAAACAAAAACGCGCTAACCACGAAGCAGGAGAAAACCGATAGAAACCTGTACGTCCCGTTTCTTTTCATTTCGGATGGCAAACGGATCCAGCGGCGTGCTGCTGCTGCTGGAGGAAGCTACTAAATATACACTTACCATGAGTTTCATACGTAATACACTAGTGGTTGAACGGGTCTTCTGTGGTATTGTAAAAATGCTAGACAGGACTCACGAGTCTTCGGTTTCAGTTTTTCCTGTCAACCTCGTAAGCGGAAAGTCGTGAATTCACATGCGCTAGTGGGTTAGGGAGGGTCTGTAAAAACGCAGCTCGGTAAAAAAAAGAATAGTGCAGAGGTAAAATAATAATACAGTTGCTTAATAAATAGTCTTTACAACACACCTGTACTGGGATCGCCGCTGTTGTTTCCCATTCGTTTCAGTATTTAGGTGAACGTTCTACTGCTTGTTTTCAAGCCTTTACCTGTATGACTTTTGCACTCCCACACTTCAGCCAGAGCCCCTGGGTCTGCACATAAATTGATCTGGGGCACTTTTTATGGTCCAGGCTCAAAAACTGGTGAAGAGTTGTGATGGTACTGACCCCGAGTCAGAGGAACAGCCTACCTCTGCAAATTAAAGCGACTCAGATCATTGATCTTATGAAATCTCTGCTTCAGACTCATTTCTTCATGTCCTTTTAGTCTTGGACAAACAGGAAGTCTTGGCTTTTATAATACAATCTATTGATATGTTGCTTCTTTTTATTATTTATTGATTAAAATCTTATAAAGAACTTGGCGCAGGTATGGTTGCTTTTAAACATGCAACAACAAAACTGACTCGACCTTTCTATAAAGAATAATAGGTAAAATATGTTTTCTACTTCTTTCAAAGAAGCACCAGTTTCTTTTCTACACAATAAAATCACAATTTCTTCCCCTTTTTAAAGCACATACACATACATTCAAGCTTCTAAATACTGCATTTACAAAGTTAATGAATATGTTGAAAGAATTTTGGAAGAATTCCTGCTGGCTTCTATTTTAAGTGATTGCTCATCCAGGTCATTAAAGAGGACAGAAAGTCCTAAAGCAGCCAAAAAGCTTATTTTATTTTTGTTTTATTTTATTTTATTTTTTTTTTACTTTTATCAGTGCCGCCACTGTCCCTTGCGTGTAATGTTTGCATTAGGTATTCTTTGTGTAATGAGTAGAAAAATGGGTTGAAAGGGTAACTTGTCATAAGATAGTAGACATATCAAGCCCAGCAGACCTAACCTTAGCGCCTCACTGCTGAGACCTGTAATGTTGAACAAAACAGGTTAGATTATTCAGAATTACTAACAGCTTACATTTGTAACTGAGAAGTTTCAAATGAAGTCAAAAATGCATAAACAATGTAAATTTGATGTTTATTTTAAAAGTTCCTCACAATGTATTATTAACTGCAAACCATACCCCCCGCTTAAGGTGCATCCAGTTTAAATTATCCATAGTTTTTCTTCTTCTGTCTTTATCTTAAGTCAGTTCTCTTGTTCATCACAGACTGCAGAACTTCCTTAAAGCAGCAGTGTTGCACATAAATACTCCAGTGTGCAGCATACATGCAATTTACAAATTACCCTGCAAAGGAAAGCACGTAACAAGAAACCTTTGTGGAAAATACAGTTTAACCAGACATTATGATTGCATTTTTATTTATTTATTTCTTGGAAGACGTAAACATATTCAAACAGGCACTATGATATTTTCACACAGACAGCCATGATTTTATACAGCAAATCAGTAAATCATTTTATTGTATGAGTGGAGTTTGCTTGGTTAGCAGCATTTAGTTTGTTTTGTTTTGAAATAGCAGTTAAATGCTAATTTTCTGCTTGATCCATTTGGACTTTTTGAGAGGCTTTTTTATTTTTCTTGTGCTGCTCCCTTTCTCCCAAACATGAGGGGATATGATCTGCTGCACTTTGGGGCTCCACTACATTCTCTGTTGGTCCAAAAAATCTGGAAAAATCAGTATTTTTCTATTCCATTAACTAGTTTGTGGGAATAAACTCTGCGTTTTGAATCCAAGTTTATGAGAAGCTAATGAAATAATCCCCGTATTATGAATTAGTGGGGAGCAGACCTCCTGGTACCCCAGCTAAACTCGATTTACAGTAGATCAGTGCATTTTTTTCATGGTTGGTTTTGTTTGAGAATTTTCACCACAGTAGTTCAACTATCCCTGTAAGCTGAATGCTACTTTGCACTGTCTGCATATGAGAACCCAACGCTGATGCAAGAAGGATTTCTGGGTGACAGACTAAAAAGCGAATTAAGGCTCATTTCTGAACTTTATGGGACTTTCCAAGCAAGAAACCACAATATGGATCTTACAGCCATGTAACAAAACAATAAAGTTGTTCTAATCTACATAAATTCTATAAACAAGTGTAGAAGGCACTTTAGAAATAAATCTGTATGAGATGTTTTATATCAGTTTCAACTGTTCCAGAATCTTTAAAGAATGAGACATCATGACGAGACAACATGACTGAAGAGAGACAAATGATCACAAAGACATCCTCAGAATATGTCTCAATCTGTCCAGAACTAAACAAATAACACCCACCCAGAACACCCCACAAGGGCTTTCAAACATCCATGACCTTTGTATTTGTTTTTGGTGTCTTTCATGCTGGGTGTGTCATTCTGGTGTAACAAAACAGGTTGTGAGGGGCCTTTTACAATTCTGTCAAGGTGCCAGTTGGCTTATAATCAGTCAGGTATAAGAGTGTTAATAAAAGCTTGTTCTCTAATCATTAGAGGCTTTTTTTCCTCTGTGTTTCCAGAAATAATACCCTGAGTAAATGAGATCTAGCCAGACAGCTACAGAACTTTATTATAATTCTCTAAAAAATATTTAAAAAAGGAAAAACTCACATTAACATTAGAGCAATGGGGGGACAGAATACCAATTAAAAGTCTTCATTCAAATAAAAATTAGTCTTTTTATTCTAAAACACAATTCACGTTATGAAAGGTTAGTTAAAGAAGTCTAAAAACTTTAACACACCTTTCCATTCTGCCTCTGATCGGTTAGATTTGGTTATGAGTTTTCAGGACACCACATTTTCCATGGATTCCTGCTAATTTAGATCTTCTGGTGAAACTGGAAATTTTGTACATGGTGCAAAAGTTCATTTATTTTAGTAATTCATCTTAAAACCAACATCTGATACAAAACCAGATATTTCAAGCTTTTAGTTGTTATATAAGTGATGATTAAGGCTTACAGTTTATGAAAACCCCAAATCCAAAAATCTCTGACAATTATTGTGAAAAGGCTCAATATTCTAAACTCAAAGTGTCACACTCTAACCAGCTAATGAATCCGAAGCACCTGCAAAGGGTTCCTGAGCCTTTAGATGGTCTCTCAGTCTAAGCTGATTTACTGAAATAAATGGACTTTTGCAACATATTCTAATTTTTCCAGTTTCACAAATATTGCAGTCTGGATACAAATAACTGAATACAAATTGAGGTACAGCAGCTTTCCTCTAAAAGTGGCAAATAAAATATGAGAAAATATTGGTTCGAATAGATGTTTTTAAATATTTGTCCCTAAATTTCATTCATAATTTTTAGCAAAAGGCACAATCTGCTGATCTTGTACATGTCTGTCGCAATAATCTCAGATTATAAACATATTAACTGCTACTCTTAGGCTAATAAAACAGATGCTACATCAAAAATGAAATTGTAAACAACTTGGACATCAACAGAGAAATATTAGTTTTTGACTCAGACTTTTTGTATGAAGAAGCAAAAGACACAACAGATTTAGGGTCACTGTGTGAAAATGTGTTTCTGATTTATCTGGTTATTTGAAAATTGCATCTGTGTAGCCGAAAATTTTAAAGGCAACTTTGATTGCACAAGCTTCACACTTCACAGTAGTTCTATATGATGATAGTAAACAAAGGGCAATGCCCAGTGTAACTTTGCCATTGTCTGTTATTGCTAAAAACTGCAATTTTTGTGAATTTCAACATGTTTTAACACAGTTTCAAGATAGATAAAACCTCAATAACCACATGTTAATACTTTTTTGTTTTTTCAAAAACTGAAATAAAAAATAATTACTAGAATTTTTATTTAGTTGTGACAAACGCGTCACAAATCACAGACTTTCTCACAAATGTAGCAGAACTTAATATTTTTCTTTCAGTGTTCCATATTGTATCATTCAGACATTATCCACATAAAAAGTAGAAATTCTGTTTGCTGTCAACTTGAAGCCTTTAATGTTCATAAGCAGTAACAGAGTCTCAGAGACTCGTCCCTAATTACACACTCTGAGCACTAACACTGAACATGGGAGATCATAGAAAAAGTAAACTTTTGGGGTCAACGTTGTTCTCCTTTTAGAAAAAAATCATCTCTTGAATTCAAATTAAAACTTCCAATATACATACCTAGTGAATTTTACATCAACTCAACCCAAACTTGATATGGTGGCAGCTAAGCTGTTTTCAAAAGACACACCTTGGCAGCATAGCAGGGTAATACTGCACCATTTGTGCCGCCAAGCTTGATAGTAATATTAACATAACACCTTCGTGCAACAGAGGGTGATATCATGATTGTGTGTGGAATGTCCGCAAACCCCAGCCAGCAGCAGGATTAAAAACGCTAGTGAACATGAGTCCCTTTCGCATTTGTAAATGGTATCAGCTGAGACGGCAAACTGGAGCGATGCAGAGATCTGGGAACTTCTGGCTAGTAGAGCTGCAGCACAGATCACCAGACAGGGACTATGAAGGACAGCCACGGTTTGGAACAGCTTGTGAAAACAACTTAAGGAGTGTGGCTTAAATTGGGATCAAAAAGAAGTTACATTCTAGCTAAAGGGATGTGTTGACACTAGAGGTGCTGAAAAAAATTGATTGAAGTCTGAATCGGGATTCTTATAAAGATTCAGAATCGATTCACAAAGGTTCAGAATCGATCCCAAGAACTCAAATATTTGGCATGTTACAGGTTCGAGATGCACTTTTGTCTGTTTTTTAATCTTTGTTAGGAGAGTCAGTTTACTTTTGTGGTCCCATAAATTGAGATGATTTATGTTTGAATCTGCTGATAAGAGGGCACTTGAATGTAATTTTTTCCCTACTCAGAAATTTGAGAAATTCTCATATTTATTTTCTAAGTTGATAAATGAGTACTCAGGATTACTCGTGTAACTTGTTTCTACACATACTTGAAAAGTATTTGACCATATTACTTTCAAAGCTACTGTTAGGTAACTACGGATTTGTTATATTTTACAAGGTAAGCAAAAATAAATGTTGCCTTTTGGTCAAAATATTGCTTCTGTTTACAGTTTTAGAATCACTTTATTTTACATTGTAAATTTGCATTTTTGGAGCAAATAAAAATGTCCCATAGCTTTAACTAACTTGTATAACAAAGTAGTTAATCCTGGAGCTGACACTCTTTGTTAAAACTGATTGTGAATCGATTTAAATTGAGAATCGAGAATCGATTCTGAATTGAATCGGCACCCCAAGAATCAGAATCGAATCAAATTGTGAGTTGCTCCAAGATTCACATCCCTAGTGGACACCACCCCCACATCTCTTTTATCCCGCCAACACGTAATCGTTCATGAAAAACATGATCGCACTATAATGCCGCCATAGGCTGACCACTTTTGAATGACCAAAGGCTTCCTAGTGGCACAGTTGCTTTTTGATACAGGCATATCCTTGGTCAATGAAATGCCACAAACAGCAAAGAAAACCCTGCAGGACCAATCCAAATCAAGATGGCCGACACAAAAACGACTACAGGTGTTATGCTAAATCTTGGTGTTGTAATAGTAAAGCATCTTCTCCATCACAAGCATTGAGCGGTAAGCATTGAGCGGTACCAGGACGGAGCAATAAATCTAAAATGTATCATTATGGGATCTTCTAACTAACTGATATCATTTTTCCCATGTCAATAAATTCTGTAATGAAAAAAATGGAAAGATGTGTGTGGGCTGGCGACATTTGTGTCCCTTTAAGAAGCTGTACCACCTCCAGTCACATGAACGTGAATCAAAGGCCCTGTCCACACGTAGCCGGGCATCTGCCAAAACGTAGATATTTTTCTACATTTTGGCCTGTCATCCACACGAAAACGGAGTTTTTTCACACGAAAACTGATCTTTTTAAAAACTCTGGCCAAAGTGAAGGTCTGCGTTTTCTCCGTTTTGGGTTTCTGCGTGTGGACGGACAAAACCGGAGTTTTAAGGTCCGCAACGTCACTTTCCGTGACAAAAAATGCTGACATCACGTCTGCGACCTGTGTTTACACTAGCCGGCATCATGGAAGCCCTCAGAGCTGTGCTCTGTCACTACCCGATCCATCAATTGTCCAAGCGCTTTCTGCTTGTTTGTTTTTGCAAGCGGAATTACTGCTCCTTGCTGAAGACCACAGACGAAGGACGAGGTTAAGAACGGGGGAAGTACTGCCGCCTACAGGTCTGGCATGTCCTTAACAACGTATTTATCCGGGTACGTGTGGACAGAGTTTGTTTTTAAAACGCGGTGGTGTGGATGCAAGTTTTTGGAGGGGCGGATATTCGTTTTCAAAAAAACCCGGCTATGTGTGGACTAGGCCAAAGTAATCCAAGTAATACACACGACAACCCCATCTAGTGGACAACTTTGTTTTTGCACATACTTGTAGTTATCGTCCAATTATCGTTATCGAGGTGAAGTCCTCAATGTACCATAATGCTTTAGACCATATCACCCAGCCCTAAGTGGTACACTCCATCGTTTATCAACACAAGATAATAGTTTATACTTCAGCATGAGAGGATTTTGGTAACGGACGTTCCTTCAAGACCTTCATTTCTACTCGTTTGATCTCAGGCGCTGTCTTTTAAAAGCCTTGATCCTATTTACAGTTCTTTACACTTAAACTACCTCTGGCTAAAAAACATAACGAATACCATAACAGACAGAATTAATAACAGTAGGCTGAGATTTCCTTTTTGAAATTAAACTTTAAGTCAAACAGCAGTTTACAAAAATAATTTAAAAAAGGGTGCAGGCTGTACAATAAATAACATTATGACCGAAACATGTATTTAGGTTGTATTTACACTTAGAAAACCCCAAGACTCCTGCTGGTTTTCCCTTTGTTCTCACAGATTCATCTTCAGAATATTTTTGAAGACCCGTTTAAAGTTTCCGTTGCAGAGCGGATATATAAAAGGGTTCAGTGTGGAGTTGATGTAGCCGAGCCATATGGTGAACATGTGAAGATCGTGGTGCACACACTCTGGGCAGAATGCCATCACCATGAAAACGATGAAGTAGGGGATCCAACACAGTAGGAAAGCAGCTATTATGAAACCTAACTGCTTGGCTGCTTTGTGCTCCTTATGGATCCTCAGACTCTGTATACGGTGTCGTGATTGGTCGATAAACCTGTGCCACGCTTGTTTGAGAGTCACTGGGTTGTCTGGATCTATTGTAGCATCTTCTGCTCCTTCCTCAGGCCATGGCAGAGCTTGGCTGGGATCGTAGCTGTCGTAGAGCACAGATGTGTATCTCTGAACATCCGACACCTGGCTGCTACCACACACGCCGCTCACTGAGTTCGGCACTGTGACGTGGCATTCATTTAAAGAGGCTTGAAGTTTGTTCTCATTGTTCCCACCTGAGCATGTCACATCCTGCGGTGCTGTTGGTTGGCTCAGGGGAATCTCAGCTTCTGGTTTCAACTCTTCAGGAGACAGAGAGCAGGTTTTAGCTCTGCGTGCCATTCGGAGTCGTTTAGTTGTCATGGTAAGCAGTGACGTCTGTTGGCACTTAACACCTATTTTCCTGTGAGCTCTGAATGGAGCGCCTTTGGTTTTATCAGCATCCTCAAGAGAATAGGTCTGGTCAAGAGTGTTCTGGTCCAGCAGTCGCTCTTTTTTGGATGATTTTATTGACATGTCATTTTCAATCTTTGGTGATTTGGAGTCATTTCTTTGAGAGCTTGGAGCATTTCCTCCAATCTCATTTTCCCCAAATGAATCTACTGGGTGAATGATTCTCTCTCTGTCTCTCAGGTGCTGCCTCACAGCCAAGTAGATATTTGTGTAAAACCACAGCATCAGAATCGAGGGTACGTAGAAGTTGAAAACAGCCGTGATGACCTTAAACCACGTGACAAAACGGAAGTCTGTGTCACACTTGTTCTCCTCCTCGGGTTTCAGGTCGACCCGTGCGAAAGACCTCCATCCTAAAATGGGAATAATCCACATCATCGACAGCAGCCAGGCTCCAGAGATCATCGCGCTGGCTTTTCCCCGTGTTCGATATTTCAGGTATTTGAGAGGCTGTCTGACCGAGCGGTACCGATCCAAACACAGGATGAACAAGCTGAAGATAGAAGCTGTGCTGGCCACGTAGTCCATGATGAGCCAGAACTGGCACACCGCCCGTCCCAGCTTCCACTCATCCTCCAACAGATACATCAAGTTCAGAGGCATGACCGTCGTCCCGACGATCAGATCTGCCACCGACAGGCTGACGATGTACAGGTTCCCCACCGTGTGGAGACTCTTTTCTTTCTTCACAGCATAGAGGACAAGCAGGTTCATTATGATGGTGAGAAGAGAAAGGAGTCCCAGAGAGACTCCCAGAAGGACGTTGTGGAAGTGGTAATGAAGGTGCTCGGTGTGATTGTGCCTTAGAAAGCCACTCCAGCTCCTGTTGCTGGTGTTGAGGTCCAGAGAGTCTTTGAAAGGTGACAGACCAGATTCCATCATGTTAGGTGAGGTGATGACCTCTTCCCATCACATTCAGGACAGATGTTGGTCAGGACTGCTTTAAAATCTAAGATCTGGCTTTAAAAAGTTGAACCAGTATGGGTTTGACAGGTTAAAGCAGAACATGGTGACGGTTGGACCAGTGCTCTATCTTCAGCAACAGTCCTCGTTGCTCGACTGTTGAAAATGCAAACATCTGGAAAACACAAACATGTGGCACATGAGAAACCTTTAAATAAGTACCTTATGACCACTTTTATTTGGGCTAACTTGCTGTTCTAATATAAATAGAGGGCTGCAGGCAGACAGAGACCATGGCCAACATATTTTTACATCACACACTAAAGAGTCTAAAATCTCCAGCCGTCCTTCTCTTTCACTGTCCAGCTGGCTTGCTTTAACACTTCCACAAGAGGAGGGCAGCGAATCCCATCAAGAGCACAGCAGCAGACGAGCTGTGTGCTTCGCTCTAAGGAGCCGCTAATATGTTGCCAGGGTCTTGTGATGGAGCTCATGATTTTTAGGAGCCTATAGGTCGCCAATAGGAACTGGCAAAAGCACAGCAAGATATTTAATATTAAAACATATCACTGTGGGCCTGGAAAGCACTTATTTTGACAGTTGGGGTATTGATTTTTTTTTTTATGAGAGTGGACTAAAATAAGCTCGTTGCCATGGGTGCGTGTGACGTTCCTGTATTTCGACTGGCCTTTTTTAAGGAATTATTTTTAATTGAACTAATGTGGTGACATTTTTAACCTTTACCCTCTGGCTGATTTGTTGGGTCATCATGAGTTAATGTGTCATTTAGATTCCCGTGACCCTTTATAATGTAACTGAAATATGAAATCATGCAAATATGCAGCGGATCATTGCATCTATCAATCTCTTGATCAGTTGACCTATTGATCCATCTATCTATCTTTCCATTGATCTATGGAATGATCAACTGACCGATCGACAGGCCTGTCTATCTCTGTCTATCTATCTATCTATCTATCTATCTATCTATCTATCTATCTATCTATCTATCTATCTATCTATCTATCTATCTATCTATCTATCTATCTATCTATCTATCTATCTATCTATCTATCTATCTATCTATCTATCTATCTATCTATCTATCTATCTATCTATCTATCTATCTATCTATCTATCTATCTATGTGCCTGCCAACTCCACTGATGACACAATTAACCCTCTCAGGCTCAAAATAAGTTTTTATAAAAGAACGAACAACTAAGTCCTTCAGGGGTACTTCTGAGTCAAAAAATGCTCATGAAATACGTATGTGGAGTAACCAGGTAGGTTTTAACGTTGCAAATCTGCAACGCCTGCCTCCAGATGGTTAAGATGCAGGAAAAAAAACCTTTCAACCATTTAGTGTTTGGCGAGAAAAAAAACCCAACAGTAGTGGATGGTGAGAGGTTTTCATGGCACATCCGTGACTCATGCTGTCTTCATTTTAATCAGCAGCCTTGACAGAAACAAGGAGAATAAAAAGAAGAACAAAGCCTTCCTGTGTGTTTACATAGAAAAAGTGATGAAAAGGGAAAGGAGTAAAAGGTTGTTGAGGGTTTTTATATCAAGTCTTTCAGTTCTTTTTCAGAGTAAGTGGATTTGTTCAAGTGTAAATGCAGACTGGGAGAAATTCCAGCAGCCCTACAAAGCATTTTTGCTGTAAGATAGAATTTAATCATTTTTAAGGGTAAATTAACCTAACATCACGCAGTGTTTCACATTTTTAGACACTCATAAAAAGATTTAACTGAAAAAAACATCACTTTTGTCCTAAATAAATCTGGAATATCTGATTTTGAATGCGAGCTGGAGCAGGTATGGAAACAGCTGTGCATATTTGTGTTGATACTGTAACTGCTTCCGCAAAACAAATGTTTAGAAACGGGATTACTCACCGTGTCAGGCAGGGAACGATATAGGAATAAGGCTAGAGCGCACAGCACGTGCCTAACCTACACTAACCGCTCCAGTGCGACCATCCCTCATGAAATCACCAGCCTGTTGTCACTACAAATAAACCGATCGATCCTTGTCCGTCTGTCTGTCATATCACGATGCCTGAACTTCAAAATGGAACAGAAGCAAACTCGTGTGAATGATTACAGGTCAGTGCGCAAAGAGCCACCTGTTGAGTCGCTGCAAAATCCACACAGAAACTTTTCTTTCAGGCACAAAACACAAACACATTTTATATTTTTATGAAAGCTATGACCATGCGGTTGATATAACGTTACCGTGAACGGATCGATGAGCAGGGAAGTCCTCTTCATTCCAGGCTGATTTCCGCAGGGAAAAAATCACCAAACGATGGCGAGACAGACTGGAACTGGAAAGAAAAGCGCCTTCATCCCTCCTACCTCCCTCACCTCGCTCTCTCGGTGCGTTTTCCTCCGTCATTGGGCTGAACTTTGGAGTTCATATGATAAAGCTGTGAATTACTGCTGCTGTAAAAGAAAAAAATCTCGACGCGCGCGAAGGTTTTGCTGGCATGGCGCATGAACTACTGCGCAATGATTCAGGGGATGATTCACCTAAATCACAAAAAACTGTGAGCAACTTCCTCCACGCGAATAAATCTGGACTTTACTGTAAAAGTATGACACAAACGTTTCTATAAGATAATTAGAAATAATTTGCTTTGCGCGGAAGTTGTGACGCGTAAAAATAACGCGTCTCCAAGAACACGAGGTAGACTTTCTCAGGTATTTTGCGTATAATCTTGCAAAAAACAAACAAACAAACAAAACAGGACCTTATGGTTAAATATGAAGATAGTTGCTGGTGTATCATTACAATAACTGTCAAAATATAGAATATGTCTATAATGGAAACTAGGCGTAAGGACAGAAAATCTTCCAGTCACAACATAGGCAAAATGTGTCCACAAGGACATCCAGCTCCCGCTTTTAAGATGCAGATTTTAAGTGACTGCCATTTTTGTGTTTTGCCTGCTGCTAATTGGATCTCCGGGCAGCTAATGAGCAAGGAAATTTGTGTTCAGCAGGTTTCAGCTCCTAGCGACAGTCTGGAGTCATTTCATGATATAATGCAGCACAAGGGTGATGTTTGTTTTAATCTGTGGGAAGCTGTGGAGGAACAGACTAGTTCGGTCAGAAATGGAATTAAATGAGAAGACTTGGAGTTTGTGTATGTCTGAGTGGCTTTCAGAGACACATCTAGGTTCTGACTGTCACTGGTGGAGAGCAAATATTTTCCTCTAAATTAAATTTTGCAATCAGGTTTGCAGGTTTTTACACAGGATTGTACGAGGAAAAGAATAACACAAAATAGTTAAAAGCAATCATGACGGGATAATTCTGATCTTTTGAAGTGACTTCTTTTTGTGGGAAGGTTTAGAACAATTTGGGCCTTTGACTGGCATCAGTTTGGAGAAACAGAGATTAGTCAGATTAAAGGAATACTTAGCAACTTTTTCATATTTTTAGATCATTTTCTTTAGCCATGTGCTAAAATGACCATTTACAGGGTTAATGAAAGGCCACCCAGCCCCAGTCACCCCAGTGGCCAGAATCTATGAGCTCATTTATTTCCCAATAGTCCCAACAGAGCGGCCTGCAAGTCTGAAGTTGCAAGTACTTGGTGCTGCAATCTGTCTCCAGCATGTTTCCTTCATGTTTTAGAGATCATTAACACAGCTGATTTGTTAATCTAGTGACAAATCACTCCTCTAGGCACTTAGGGAAGCTGGGGAGCTGTTTCAGCTGTTTAATTAATGTTTTGCTTTCGGTTCTTCAAACAGACACAAGGGAGTACTAAAAGCAAGCCAAAACTGCCTGGTTCCCCTTTACTAAACTGGGCTTGGATCATTGCAACGTTTTTACGCATTCCAAAAACAACTATAACCTGAAAGCATTTAACGCAGTTCATGCAAATGTTATTTTATGAACACTTTCACTATCGTGAAGTTCACATTACTGAGTTATTTTGGGTTTTTGCTAAATAACTAAACTGCTGTTTACTGCTGAAGCTCTTCTAGTCAGAATGTCTTCACAATTTTTCCAGAATAACCATTAAAGACTGAAACAAAATGAAACATTAGACTCGTCTGGGGGACCTCACAGTAAAATTCTCGCTATACATTTACATACTGCACCTTTAATGTGACATTGATTAATTCATTTTCAACAACATCTCGAAGGATTTTTCCAGAGATTAACGTAAAAACGACACATTGTCTCTTTAAGACAGGGGTGTCAAACTCATTTTAGCTCAGGGGCCACATTGAGGGAAATCTAGTCCCAAGTGGGCCGGACCGACAAATAAAAAAAAAACTTCAGATTATTTTCTTTGTTTTAATACAGTCAATATGAAACAAGGCTGGAGCCTGAGGACAGTGTAGTACAAGTACAACACCTGAAGTGTACTTGAAAATTTGAAAAAAATCAAAAATCAATACATAATAAAAAATACCTTAGTGATTCAAAGAGCTTACAGATCACATGGCAAGATCAGTTCCATGCAGCACTTAAAGTATATTTGACTCATTTTACTTTACATCTTTTAGCCTTCACCAGCACATCAATATCAGGAGTCACATCCTGAGTGGCAGCCAACTTCAGGATGGGATTCAAGTTCTTGTGTGAGCCTTGAGCGCAGCTTTGTTTTATTTATACTCGTTACAGAGAAAACTTGCTCACAAAGATAAGTTTATTTTCACTCTACATTGTAAAGTATGAAAATAAAGTTTTCACAACCATCTCGCGGGCCGGATTTAACCCGCTTGCGGGCCGCATCCGGCCCGCGGGCCGCATGTTTGACACCACTGCTTTAAGAGAACAAGCTGTAGTTGGCGACGCCCACCCATTTCCCGGTCAGGCTGCTATAAGCTGACAAGCTCCAACATCCGGAGGGGCTCATAGCACCCAATATGAAATAGGAGTTTTATATAACATGTTCCTTTTAAATGTGAAATTTGTGGAAATGTAAAGGATATCAAATAGTAGCTTCAACAACTTCTGAATGTCAGATTTGTTTTTATACAGTTTGTAATTGGCTCTGTTCTGGCTAACCGTGAATTTAACAGATATAATCTCAGTTTCTCTGTCTTATTTAAATCTCATTTCTGATTATGATCGGTCACTCTGAGTGTTTCATGCAGGCTGAACACGAAAACAGTCTCGAACACAGATCTCCTGCATTAGCTTCTGATAGAAAATAGACAGTGAAACTTTCGGATTAGAAAAGCCTGACATAACTACTGTACATCACACTGTCACTTAACATTCATGGACTCACCCATCTTGACTCAAAATGAGGAAGGCTGTTGTTTTAACAGCAGAGAACATCTCGGCTAGTAGAAGCTATCTGTTAGCATTAGCAACTCTACCACACAACAGAACTCCTTCAGGCTTGTGTTATTTGCGGGGATAAAACATCAACAGTAGTGCAGAGCAGACATAGTCAGTGGTGGAGTCGCGTTGCTGTTATCCAATCTGAGACGAGATGTCCAAATATCAGGAAATAAGACTCCAAATCCTGTCGTGTTAAGCTCTCCTCTGAAGTTGCATCAGTTCATTAAACAAGAGCATTCATTCCTATTAGAGAGCACTGAAAATGCTCACAGTAAAATTATCACTATACATTTACATACTGCACCTTTCATGTGATATTGATTAATTCCTTTTCAACAACATTTCGATGGATATTTCCACAAACCGGTCCAGTTTCTTTCACCTGAGACGCCTTGCAAAAATCAAGCATATGCTGTCGAGAGCCCACCTGGAGCGTGTACTGCATGCCTTTGTTATTTCTAGGTTTGATTACTGCAACTCTCTCTATGCAGGGTTGTGTCAGTCATCACTGCGTCGCCTACAGGTTGTGTAGAACAGCGCAGCCAGGTTCCTGACTGGGACCAGAAAACAGGACCACATCAGTCCGGTTCTGACCTCCCTGCACTGGCTTCCGGTTTGTTATTGTTCACACTTCAAACTCCTCGTCTTTGTCTACAATTTCTTCCAGAGTAATGCTCCCCCCTATCTAGCCACACTCCTGAACAGACATTCCCCATCACGCGTGCTGCGCTCCTCTGACCAAGGCCTGCTCGCTGTCCCTCGTTCTAGGTGTCGTACTCGTGGGGACCGGGCTTTCTCAGTCCTAGCATCGTCACTCTGGAACCAGTTGCCACCCTCAGTTAGGCTGTCCCCTTCTCTGCCAGTCTTTAAGAGTCGCCTAAAAACCCACCTCCTCTGCTTGGCGTTTCCTGAACGTGTTTGAATTTGGCCCTCTTTTATGTTGATTTTATTTCCCTGTTTTCATTGGTTCACTCTCTCCCTTGTTTTACCCATTTGTATTCTGCTAGAATGTTTTACCTTTTTTTGTAATTTGTAATTTGAACTGCTTTTATTTTCAATTTATTCACGATATTTAACTTTGTCATGTACTATGTCCAGCGCCTTGGGCTACCCGACAGGTTTGCGGAAGGCGCTTTATAAATAAAGCTTTGATTGATTGATTGATTGATTGAAAATGTATTGATTAAATGAGTGTTCCATACCTGATTGGTCACAGCGTTTACTCAGAAACCCTCTTCCACACATGGGAGCTATCCCTTTAAGCTCTAGTATGTTTACTGCAGAAATGCATCTTTTGTAGAATCTACAGAACAACAAAATCTTTCTTTTCATAAACAAGCTGCATTGTGACTGGATGATGTGTCAGGTGGAAGATGAGTCTGTGGTACCTGGGATTCAAACAGTTTTACTCTGCAGTAATTGTTAGTTAAATGTTTGCAAGTGTTCTGTGCTGCAAGTTTAAAACAAAAGACAGGAAAGACTTGTTTTTCTGACCCGGTTCACACCTCGGCAGTAGGGTGCTGTGGGGGTGACGGCCACTGCCCCCCACCACAGGCGCTCCTGGCCAGACAGGCCCTTTTGTATAAAGCTTTTCATGAATAATAATTTTAGGGAAACAACAAGCTTTAATAAGTTAGAACATTTTTAATATGCATATCTCTTTGTTTTGTCCTTCACAAGGACTTCTGTAAAATAAGGAGCTGAAATAGAGCTATTTTACAAGGAGAGGCCCTAATTTTCATGTAATTTTGAGTCACCTGCATGTGACAGCATCACAATATCTCCAGAAAATTTTGGTTTTAGTGTGTCTCTCCAGGATATTCAATGACCACATATAGCCATCTGTTTCTGTATATTAGTGGCTTGAATTTTAGTGTAAAATATACAACATTTAAAAGGTACGCATTAAACACTCATTCTTAAAAGCCCACAAAGACAGAAACCTTAACATGCTTGAAAGTGACAGACTGAGCAATGTTTAGACGCCCTAAAGCTTTTACTGCACCCCTTTCTAATCCAGTCCCTTCGCCTGAGTTATGGTTCACCATTAAACTCTCACTAAATGTTTTTTCACACAGTAAATCTAATGTTTGAAGAGGGCCAGTGTTTTTTCTTTTTTTTCTTTTTATGATTTAAAACTTTAAAGGTTGGAGATCAGGACAAGATCAATCCATGTGAGATGTACAAAGGTTTATCTCTGTGTAGGATCAGGGCTCTGGTGTAAAACCTCTGCTTCTAGCTGTTTGTAGGGCTAAGGCTTTTGGGCCCCTCCTGAATTGTTGTGGTTCTAGAACAAAATACAGAACGATATTATGTCATGCATAATTTAATATTTGAAGGTAAAATCTTCCATTT